TATATTATATGTTATTTTATATATTGTTCTATATAATATAATATATATAATATATTTCATTAACGCAGGGTTAATTCCAGCACAAAAATGAGGCACGGAAAACATTGTGTCTTTTCTGAATCGGATCCGAAGATATTTAAACTCAGTGGCCCTTTTTTTTGTTTACATTTTTGTCCTGTACATGTAAGGCTCTCATTAAACGAAAAATTGTATTTTTTTCCCCCAAGTAAATAAATATGGACATTTTCGGAATGCTGCTGTGTTGTTCTTTTCCTGAATTGAATTATTCCATTATTACACCATGAAACCATAACCATTCTTTAAAGCAATATATGTTTCCCATTGCGTCTGTATTGTACCAGCCTGCGTACCTTTCAAAACGCATGTGAATAATTCAACTGAAAGCGGATTGTCCTGTTCTGAACAAGAAAATCACGGTTTTATTTTTTTAGAGTATCCACAAGCCGAGAGAGAGTTTTTTTTTCCCCTCAGGCTGAAGGCAAAGGGAATCTGTCGTAAAGTCCCCAGGCATCTCATAACTAGTTACAAAAAAATAAAGTTTTTGTTGAAAATTATAGCAGGATTGATAAACCCAAAAGCGTAAATGCAGGCCAGTTAATTTTGAGAATAGCGCTGGCTGCAGATACAAGGCGAGAGGCTGTATGTTACAGGACGTAGCTTTCAGAGTTTTAAAGTCTGAAAAAATTTGGGAAAGTGACACACGAACCTGTGGACACCGGCTCCACTTTTTACAGTATTCACAAATCATTTTGTCGGTTTTCATTTAAAAGCCGTCACACCCGAAGAAGGGTTTTTCCTTACAAAATCAATAAATTTCTAGATGGCAAGATTCTTGTTCTCCAATACCGTTATCGTGGGTTTTTTTTTTTCTCAGAAGGTTCGGCGTTAAATAACTGGAGTAATTCAGGCAGTTTCAGGTTCCTGTGATTATAAACTTGCAGCCCAACAACATGAAACTACCTAAATCACACAGCAGTTCGGCTCTCCTCGGGTTCAAAGGCGAAGATTAGCATAAAATCAGACTCTCGGAAAAGGCCATTGGGCTAGCTGGGAAAGTGACGTCACATGCACCCTGAGGCGTCATCCGGAGAGAAACGGTTGCTAAGATACTCTGAAGCGCAGTCAAATCCTTCTGAATTAAGCCGCCTCTCTGTATATAATGTAATTTGTAAGATGGTAAACACGGCTCAGACTGGACTCTCACATTTTGTTCATAGTCACATTGGTACAGAATGCGAAATCTGGCAAGAGCTACGGTTCTTCGATTCACTGCAATTGTGCCCAGGGACTGAACTATAGTGTAGTCGTTAAATTATAGGAGGCAACGTTACAGGGCGACGCTAGAAATAGCGAGATAATTTCTCCAAGGAAAATAAACCTAATTATACCGAGTCATCCCTCCCACAGCTAAAGAGTCTGTTTCTCTCAATTCAGATTCTTCAGTCTGAGACTCTCATCCTGTCTTAAAATGGTGCGTTTTCAACATGGCGGGCGCGCACAGCTATTCCATTATTGCTCATCCAAACAAAAGGCGAACAGCTGTCAATCACAGGCGTGTGAGCCCAGATAGCCAGTTAACACTTATAACCCAGCGTAAAATACAAACCTAGTCTGACATTAAAAACGAAAGCGCACAGAATTCGTTTTCGCCGATGCTAACGTTTACCAACCAAATATAGAAATTTTGTAAAATACATTCAAGAGGCCTGGAGTTCGCCAAAAGGTGAGGCTGGTGGTTTGAACGGCCCACAGTTAAACACACAGACGAAAGAGTCCAAGAAAGCAGAAGAGAACGAAATATCTTTAAACATAAACCCGAGGCCTTCAGACGATAATTCAACTTCCCTGGGGTGATTCACCTGAAAAAATGCTTTCTCTTCTCTACCCTTCAAATGATTTAAATTCGTTATTCTCGGCAAACACACACACACACACACGGAGATACATAGATAATACAGAACCCAACTGAATTATCCATCGCCTGGCGCCGGACAGGCTCCACACCTCCCTTGAATTCAGCGTCTTGCCTCGTCTCCGCGCAAGAGTCGTCTTAGTGCGACGGTAAGGCTATATAAACGCACGTCG